GAGTGTAGTGTGGAGAGAAGACTTAATAATCAATTTTATTATAGGTATATTCTGCCAAAAGAGGCTTCAGGAGAGAAAAAGGAAGAAGAATCCGGAGCCTCTGAGGGAGCTGATTCGACATCTGAACCTCCCCAAAAGAAGCAAAAATTTACAGGTAAGTTCACAAAATATAAACTTATGGAGATTTGTAAAGAATTTATTTATTTATTTGAATTAGTTTTATATGATAATTTTTCAGTGTTTTATTTTATTTAAGTGATCAAGGGCTAAGTTATGGAAAAGATGTTTTGTTCAACAACTCTCAAGCTTACATTATGCTGAAGTTGTTGTTTTTAAGATAGCCCTTGCAGTTAGTAATATGATGTGATTATCAAGAAATCATTCACTAAATTTTTTAAGAATCCAACCAAGTATTTATGTAAGTTCTTACTCACACATGTTACTGTTTTGAACTCTTTGCATATATATATGAAACATTGAAGAGAGCATTGGGGAAGAGGATGATAATACTCTTATTAGGGTTGGTGTGCATAGCATGCATATGGATGCATATGTATATATCCATAAACTGTATATGTATGTCTTGCGTATATACGTATGCCTTCATGCATGTATGTATATATGAACATATATCCATTTTCTCATTTTAAAGCCTACTTTGTATCTACAGATAAACATGTCCAAAGGTAGAAAATCCCTCAGCTTACTGGTTTGCTACATACCTCTACCATAAAGGAACAGAAAGATGAATATGATTTTAGCACATTCTTTAATGAGTCAGCATGCATTCTTCTACTAAATGTAATATTCATGAAATAAAAATGTGTAAAATATGCAGCATATACTGTAGCCTAATGTAAGTTAAAGTATGCACAATAGTGTATAAATTACTGTTACTTTTTGAAATTTAAGCATATAGGCTATTTTAACAAAATTGAAAAAATAATATTGTAGTGTAAATTATATGTTCTAAATCCTTAAATGTCAGAAATGACCATAATAGGTTGAAACATATTTGGTTCTGTATGAGAAAAAGATCCTTAAGAGAAAGGTAAAACCCACATTGCATAGTAAAAAAATAAATAAATGAAAATAAAACCCAGAATTTTTCTTTGTTTTGTAAACTTTGTGACATCAAAATTTAGATATCAAGAAATCTTTGATTTTAGAACATAACTGCATATGGTAGAGACAGTATTTTGCAAATTATTTAAGAAATGAGCAAAACTTCTCATTACAATGAATTTGGTGATTACCATACTGTATTATATCATCATTCTTGCTTGTCTGGGAAGTATAGTGTCAGCTCTTGCTTTTTGCTTTTTTACTCCGGGTGATTAAGGATATGTCTGTGTGTTAGCATTAGCTTTCATTTCACATGAATGATGTGAAGGTACTGTGTAGAATTACTATCCTTGTTGCCAATTGGACTTGTTATCACTTTGATCAAACATATCCTAGATGCTATTGGTTATATTTTCCTTAATTTAGCCTCTGGTTACCAGGTGAATATTCTTTATAGCACTGTTATTCTGCTTTTTCTGTATGATGAATGCTCTTAATGCCTCTGTTATTTCCTCCTTTTCGTTAATTTAGTAACCCATTGACACTGAGGGGGCATGCACATACATACCCAATCCACTGTGGCTGTAGGGCAGTCATTTAGTATACACATGGATGGCTTCAGAAGTGCTTAGAACATTATAAGCAATGGATTTGATATCCGCCAATGACTAAAAGGTGTCAATAAAAAATCAATCTTAAGGAAAGTTTTTGATGTAAGTAGAGCAGTGTGAGTGCCCACAGGTATGGCTGGTATCTGTAAAGATATTGACGGCATAAAAGCCTGGGAAAATAGACCTATAAGTAGATTACTGCGTGCTGTGTCTTGTACTGCAATGGAAAGACGTGAAAGTCTGAACTCGGCACGAACCGAAAGGATTGCCGGGAGCTTAAGTTGTCATGGAGCTGTGCCAGGCCCACCTGAGGAATGAGGGGAAGCCTAGAATGGTCAAAGTAATATAGCCGAAGCCGTAGAGGATGTAACCAAGATAGTCAAACACAAAAGGTACTTAAGGTAAGCGTCTAAATCGAAGGGAAGCTGCTGAAATAGGTGAGGGTCGAAGAGGACAGGACTTGTGGAACCTAGAAGAACCCAAACCTGTGAAGGAGAAGTAATGCACGCGCATGCAGGTTGCAGTTAGGAGGATCAGCTTATACAGGTTACTCCCACCGTTCCAAAGATGTAAAAGGGAGCTAAAGCGAGCAAAAGAGATGATTTAAACCATTGTTACATAACCAAGATAAGGAACAAATGAAAAAAAAAAAAAAAAAAAATAGATAATTTGATAGTCAGACTCCGAGAAAAGAATCAACCAAGTCAATGAAGCAGTGTGAGATTTGAACCAGCCAATAGACGTAGGTGCAAAATCATCTTACTTTAAGGAGCTTTTAGTTAGTGTAGGGTTGAGTTAGAACCCCAATCAGGTAAAAAATATATAAAAAGGCTGAATTGGAATAATTGCTGAGAAGATCATAGATGCAGGAAAGAGAGTTGGAAAGCAAACGAAGACCAGTACCAACACCGACAAGCACAAAAAAGGTAAACTGAGGAAATAAGGCTAGTATGACTGACGAATGCTGTGATCTTAGCTCTGCGAAGAGGATCTGTTGAGGTGCTGAACTCGGCACCGGGTGCTAGGAGCTTATAGATGGGTCTGAGCATGTTGCCAGACTGAGCGTCTCGAAGAAGCTGCTGAGATGGAGAGAGGCGAAAAAAAAAAAAAAGAAAAAAAAACAAAGAGGACAAAAGGAACCTGATGGACTTGGACCCAACCTGGAGGGGAAGTATGCCCAAGCGAACTGCAAAAAGGTTGGAGGGTTCTGCTACAAAAAGTACAAAAAACCAAAAAAAAAATATAGATCAACAAAAATTAAGAACAATAGGAAAACTCACACAAGAACTAAGTAATTTACTAAATTGACCTGAGAATCTAACACCTTGTTTTATGTTTATTCCTTAATTATTCCTTCTTAATTAGTGCTAAGTATAACAAATTGAAATATTATCCATGAAATAAATGGAAATAATACACTTAATAATGGGAAAATAATAACAAGCAAAAATAAGTAAATATAAGTACAAGTTTTTTAAGAATATTTATTCCCCCTAAATTAAACTCAAAGAAAAAAAGGTAAAAATAACAGAAGTGAAGTACAAAAATGTAGAATTATATGAATTGACTCTAACTAAGCGAATTTATAGAACAGAGCCTTCGGAAAAAAATAAGAACTAAGTAAATAACAATGATTCATGTACTTGCTTTTAATTGGTATGATTAACTAAAAATTATTCCTTAGATTTCCAATACATGATTACATAAATCTTATAAATCAAAGATTAGGACAAATAAAACAATTCTAAAATAAAAAATTATGGTGACAAGCAATTTTATAAAAAGTAAATAATTGGATAAAAGTAAAAAAAAAATTAACCCCCCATAAATGAGACTTCAGGCAGAAACAAGATAAACGGTCCAAGCTATGAAAGATTCAGAATACACCCAAAGAAAAAAGCAGAACAAAATAATATGTCCGTCAGCGTAATAAAAAAATGAGGTAACTGGCAGTGTAAGAACGAATAGAAGACCCCAAGACTAAATCAAAAACCTTGACCCCAATTGTTGTCTTTTCCACAGAAATGATAGTAACAACAAACTTTCAACTGAAAAAACAACCAAAAAAAAAGAAGTATAGAAAGGACAGAAGGAACAGAATGCCACAATTTCGCCACTTATGGCAATGTGCCCTTATGCCTTACAGAATGTAAAGGTAGTAAGTGGTTACCACAAGTGAATCATATTATCATGGAAATTGAAACTGGGCATAAATTTTCAACATCAGGAAGTGATCATAGATTAATTATCATAATAATCAGTTTCCTTTATATAATTGTTCATCCTACCACTAACACTTCCACCGTCAACACCTTCACAACTTATCACCATATCTAACCTATCAAACCTTACACCTTCACCTTCACCTTCACCTTCACCTCCACCTCCACCATATTCAACCTTCAACCTCACACAACTACACCAAACAAACCTCCACCTC